TCCTGATACTAGGAATGATTGAAGGCAGGAGGAAAAGTCGACAACAGAGGATGAGATGGTTGGATGGCATCATCAACTCAATGGATATAAGTTTATGCAAAGTCCAGGAGATAGGGAAGGACAGGGAAGCCTGGCATGCTGCAGTCCATGGGATTGCAAAGTATCAGACATGACTGAACAACTGAACAATGACAACAATGCTTTCTTCATATATTAAAATTCTATAGTTATGTAATATTCCTTTTTATCCTTGGTAATTTTCTTGTCCCTGAAATCTGCTTTTCTATTATCAATAAAAACATATTAGCTTTCTCATATTAAAAAAAAAAAAGTGGGTTCTATCATATAAGTTTGGGAAACTGCATTCTATAAATATCCTTTGATTGTTTGGTGATTTATAATGAACATCAACTTTTGTCAGCTTAATAGAGACTCAGGGAAATTATTTTATTACTAATAATTTAACCTGTACCAAGCACTTACTATTTTAAGGTTCTAAGAACCCCAGATGTATTAATCATTCTAATCTTTATAACAAGTCTGTCTTCTGCAGTTATTTCCTTTTTTTTCCCTTTTTTAACAGATGAGAAGACTGACATCCAGAGTGGTAAAATGACATGCTCAAAATCCCATGGCTAGGCTAGGAAGTGAAGAGTTGGGATTCAAACCCAGATATTCCAGGCTCCAGGTACTGTCCTACTTTTTGTTACCAGTGAAGTCCAGCATTTCTCAAACTTGTTTGTTGCTTTTTTCCCTGCTTGAAAGCCTATTTTAAATGGAAGGTTTTTTTTTTTTTTTTAAACTTTTTGGCCATGTCTCATGGCATGTGGGATCGTAGTTCCCCAACTGGGGATCAGACCTGTGCCCGCTGCATTGGAAGTGTAGAGTCTTAACCACTGGACCCCCTTGAAGGTATTTGTATATTCTTTTGCAGTGACTGTCCTAGGAATTTTTAAAAGGTCAACATCACTCTATAGTACTTTAGAGGTACTAAAACAGTTCATAATCAAAATCATCATTATACTCTCCTTTCTCTGTTCTAATATTATATTATCGTAGTTAAATAAATTAAACTGACAGGTAGTGCCATGAAGCATTGTAATAATGGACATCAGAGTCTGAACCTTGGCTCTGCTTTTTTGTTAGCTAGGTGACCTTAGAAAAGGTACTTTATCTCTCAAAGCTTCTGTTTCTTTCTCTAAAAGGTTAATATCTTACAAGGTAGCTGTGAGAACTAAATGAAAAAATCATGTAATATCTGACAAGAAGGGTCTCAGTAAATGTTAATTACCCTTTTTTTTTTCTTAAGTCATCTCAGTTCTTTACCATGAATGATTATGAAAATAGTTGGGAAAGAAAAATCAGTTTTAAATTTAAACTGTCTCAGTGTTTATGCTGATATCAGCTACATTTCTGATAAGGTGATGTTGTCATGATACAGGTTGTATGGGAGTTAAAACCAGTTTCCTTCCGGCTTTCCAACTGACATAATACGCAAAACCTGACTGGGCAAACATAGACCTATTTATTAGATCACTTATTATTAATGTTAAACTAGCTTTGGTGCTGACTTCTCCAGTTCTTTTTGAAATTTCACTGTTGTCATTTAAAATCTGACAGACTTCAAAAGCTTTGTAAAATGCTTAATGGTTTAAATCATCCTTCAGAACATAGAAAGTATATTTTTCCAAAGGGGTGTTCTCTATCTAGCAATATGCTCAAAATCATGCAGGAGGACGGAATTGCTTATGTTTTCACATTTACTACTGGAGGATTATTCAGTTTTTAATGGCAATCAACTTTATGCTTTAGGGGAAGTACTTAACATCTATAACAAAAGCATGAATAATCATTTGAAACAAAGTTATTACAAGAAAAATCTATAGGGAGTTTTCAATTTCACAATGATTTACTGCCTGGGCGAAAAGAAGATGGGTTTGGGTTGAGCCATGTGTGTGTGCTCAGTTGTGTTTGACTCTTTATGACCCCATGGACTATAGCGTGCCAGGCTCCTCTATCCATGGGATTATCCCAGTAAGAATACTGGAGTGGGTTGCCATTTCCTTCCCCAGGGGAATCTTCCCACCATAGGGATTGAACCCATGTCTCCTGTGGCTCCTTCCTTGCAGGAGGAGTCTTTACCATTAAGCTGCCTGGGAAGCCCTTGAGCTGTTTGTAGGGGATCTCTAATACGCCATTCTAAGTGCCTCGTAGTAGCCCTGGTACATAGTAAACAGTAAATATTTATGGCCCGATTGAGTTTGATTTCTAATCCCAGCTATGTACCTTGCAACTTCTGTAACCTTGGACCCTCTTGTACCTTCTAAACTTCCATTTCCTCTTAAGTTTAAAAAAAAAAAAGAGGTATCAATATTAACTTCCCAGGATTGTTGTAATAGTTAAGTGCTCATGCATTAATATAGTCAGCCCCACACATGGCGTGTTCCCCAGATACCTCACTTCTTTCTTCAATAATGTTCTTTTCAAGCACTCTTTTTGTTTCTCATTATCTAAACATTTAGTTGTATTCAAGGGTGTTTACACTCTTGAAAAAAAATGAATGTTTATTAAACTGAAATTATATTCCTTTGTAGCCCATACTTGAAATGTTTTAGCAAAAAATGATTGTATGTTTGTTAGACTTTGGTTTGAATCTTGTCTTTAGTGTTGGGACTTTAGGGAAGTGATTTGGCTTCTCTATAAGGTGTTATGAAGCTGAAATGAGCAGAATATATAAAGCCTCTAGTTCATTGCCTGGTTTGCATAAGCCGCAGATAGATATTATTTCTTTAAGTTGAAACTGTCATTTAGTCTGCTAATTTACATAATTAATTCATGTAAATCTAGAGTCTACTCTATTCAAGCCCCATTAAGAGCAAACAGGAAGACTGTAAATGGACACTGGGAAAATTATTATGTCGGCAACTGAATTTGGCCTTGCCTAGATCAGGTTTGGGGCTTCCCTTGTGGCTCAGTGGTAAAGAGTCCACCTGCCAAGCAGGAGATTTGAGTTTGATCCCTGGGTCGGGAAGATCCCCTGGAGAAGGAAATGGCAACCCACTCCAGTATCCTTGCCTGGAAAATCCCATGGAGAGAAGATCCTGGCAGGCTGTAGTTCATGAAGTCACAAGAGTCATACACAATGTAGCAACTAAACAACATCAACAAATTAGGTTCAGCAGAAGTGGTATTTTCTGTTATAATTGAAGTAGAATCAGTTAATGGGGTTATTATTGTACTAGCTTCCCTGGTGGCTCAGACTATAAAGAATCCATCTGTAGTGCAGGAGACCTGGGTTCGTTTTCTGGGTTGGGAAGATCCCCTGGAGGAGGACATGACAACCCACTCCAGTATTGCCTGGAGAATCCCATGGACAGAGACGCCTGGCAGGCTGCAGTCCACGGGGTCACAAAGAGTCGGACATGACTGAGTGACTAAACAACAAGAACATTGCATTTGGCATGGCCTTTTTTGATGTTTTCTTTTTTGAATATCAAAATTTTAAAAAATGAATGGCAGAGACAGGTTCATGAGAACTCAAGGAGACCAGGTAAAATTTGCTATGTAAAGTTTTCATCTTTTGCTGATCTTCTTCATTAGAAATAAACATGTTCCTCTCCTTTACTGAAATTCAACATATGATATTGGTAAGCCAAATTTAATAAAACATTCTGCCCATTTTAAAATTCACTTGAATTGTTTAGATATCATATAAAATCGATTTCTACCATGGCAGATTAAGCATTGCAAAGCTGATGATAAGAATTTTATGTGAACTCCTGACAAATAGGAAGGATTAAGGATGTTACTGAGCATTGTAGAAAAAGGTTTACTTTTGAAAATGTTCCTAATGCCCTTAACAATAAGGTTTTTAAAGGGATACTAAAAGATCACTGTTTGTTTTGGGAGATAACTTTCTCTGATAAGATGTTAACATCTGTTTTCTGTTTTGTAGGGTTTCTTTCATTTATTAAAATATAATTCACAGAACGTAAAAGTTTCAGTGACTTTGAGTACTTTCATTGTCATGCAGCTATCACCATTGTCTGGTTCCAGAAGTTTTTCATCACCCTCAAGGGAAACCCCCTTAAATTTTCTCCCTTCTCCTAGCCCCTGGCAACCATACCTCTGCTTTTATCTCTGTGGATTTGCCTTTTCTGCTCAATTCATATAAAAGTCATACGATATATTGCCTTATGTGTCTGGTTCCTTTTTCACATAGTATATTTTCAGAGTTTACTTGTAACGTGGCATATCAGTTCAGTTCAGTTCAGGTGCTCAGTCATATCTGACTCTGCGACCCCATGGACTGCAGCACGCCAGGCTTTCCTGTCCATCACCAACTCCTGGAGCTTGTTCAAACGCATGTCCATTGAGTCAGTGATATCATCCTACCATCTTATCCTCTGTTGTCCCCTTCTCCTCTTGCCTTCAATCTTTCCCAGCATCAGGGTCTTTTCCAGTGAGTCAGTTTTTCACATCAGGTGGCCAAAGTATTGGAGCTTCAACATCAGTCCTTCCAATGAATATTCAGGGCTGATTTCCTTTAGGATTGACTGGTTTGATCTCCTTGCAGTCCAAGGGACTCTCAAGAGTCTTCTCCAACACCACAGTTCAAAAACATCAGTTCTTCGGTGCTCAGCTTTCTTTATGGTCCAACTCTCACATCCAGACATGACTATTAGAAAAACCATAGCTTTGACTAGACGGATCTTTGCTGGCAAAGTAATGTCTCTGCTTTTTAATATGCTGTCTAGGTTGGTCATAGCTTTTCTTCCAAGGAACAAGTGTCTTTTAATTTCATGGCTGCAGTCACCATGTGTAGTGATTTTAGAGCTCCCCAAAATAAAGTCTGTCACTGTTTTCATCGTTTCCCCATCTATTTGCTATGAAGTGGTGGGACCAGGTGCCTTGATCTTAGTTTTTTGAATGTTGAGTTTTAAGCCAACTTTTTCACTTTCCTCTTTCACTTTCATCAAGAGGCTCTTTAGTTCTTCTTTGCTTTCTGCCATGAGGGTGGTGTCATCTGCATATCCAAGGTTATTGATATTTCTCCTGGCAATCTTGATTCCAACATGTGCTTCATCCATATCAGTACTTTGTAGCTATTCTGGGCTGAATAGTTCCATTGTAAAGATATACCACATTTGGTTTATTCATCAGTTGGTGGATGTTTGGGTTGTTTCCACTTTTTGACTGAATGGAATGATGCTGCTTTGAACATTTGTGTACAAGTTTTTGTGTATACATGTTTTCAGTTCTCCTTGGTATATACCTAAGATGGAATTGCTAGGTTATATGGCAGCTCTGTGTTTAACATTTTGATTAAACTGCCAAACTGTTTTTTCTGAAGCAGCTGTATCATGTTATATAGTTTTTAATGTTATTTAAGACTCTTGGAAGAAATGAGGAAAAAGTTTATGAAAATGTTAACCTAAGAGTGTTAGTACTCATGAGAGCCATTCTGGCAAACCAGATGAAAGTCTCAATTGTCTCATTTGCTTTACAGAATGAAAAATTAAGATATAAACCCACATCATAGAAGCAGTGTCATTTTTTATACTCTCTTATTCCTTCACCCACCCACTTATCTTAAAAGTTTGGAATATACTTGGAATTGATGTTGTTTACTTTCACATAAAGAATATGTGACTAAAAGTGACATATTAAGTTTCCTGCTTTGCTTTTCCTTAGTGAGTTTCATATTTTATTATACAGTTTACTAAAGCAGAGAAACTGAGCATTGTTCTTTCTGCAGAAAACATTCTTAATCAAAATTCAAAGTAAAAAAATAAAATTCAAAGTAGATTTGAATTCTGTTTAAATTTTCTTGCATATAAAAATATTTTTCAAAAATATCACATAAAGACCTCACTTATTTGTGTTCATGTAATGGGTAGTTTAGGAGTGCTTTTGTCTTCTCTGCTGATGATGCTACCCTTCCTTGTCTTTTGTTCTCACTGGTCATTATTAGCTATTCGAACAAACTTCACATTTGTTCTAACAAAGATTTATACAGCCTTCATAAATTTCCATGAAATGAAATTATTATAAAGAAATAAAGTATTTTTGTTTCAATAGACTTTCAAAGCAGAAAGGACACTCAAGAGAAACAATACTTATGGAGTAATTTCTAATATTAGATCACATAAGTGCTTTTCATGCCTTTCTCATTTAAGGTGACAATCCATGTGAATTTTATATTTGAAAGAAGAAATGTGATTATCAGTCATTTCATAAAGCTTGATATAAACCCTGGCACTCTAGGATAAATTGATCCTTATTCCTTTTAAGGATGTATGATAGAGATTGAGTCATATTCTTTGAGTAATGAAAAATTAAGGAATTTCTTTTTTAGGTAAACTATAAGTCAGCTTTGCAATGTGGACATCGAATACATTGTTTACTAAATTCTATAATTTTAACTGGTAATTTTCAGTTGTTTTCCAGTTATTTTGTTTTTAATATAATTTATGTTATTTCATTGGGTGATTTTATCTACTTCATTTCTGGAATGCCTGAGTAAAGAACTAGATAAATATTGGGTTTTAATCAGGATTTTTTTCTGAAAATTGAGGCTTTTAATACATTTTTAATATATTTTTTTTGGTCTGTCGTATTAATTTTTCAGTTGATAACTTTCATTACTGACTAGAAGCAGTACAGAAAATGCTTTCTACCACCCTGTAACGTAAATTTTAGATTAAAAAATTTACCTCAAAAAAATAAAAAGTAATTTACTGTATGATTCAGCAATCCTACTTTTGGGAATATATTCTAAAGAAGTGAAATCACTATCTTGAAGACATATCTGCATCCCTATGTTCATTGTCGTGTTCTTTACCGTAGCCAAGACATGGAAACAGTGTAGGTGTTCCATCCTTGGCTGAATGGATCAAGAAAATGTGGTATGTATATATACAATGGAGTATTATTCAACCATAAAAATAAGGAAATCCTGCCATTTGCAACAACATGGATGGACCTTAATGGTATATGCTTAGTGAAATAAACCAGACAGAGAAAGACAAATGCTGTATGATATCACTTATATGTGAAATCTAAACAAACTGAAGACAAAAGAGAACAGATTGGTGGTTGTCAGAGGCAGAGGGGAATAGGTGAAGGTGGTCAAAAGGTAGGAACTTCCAGACTTACTTGGTGATCCAGTGGTTGGGAATCCCCCTGCCAGGGCAGCAGACACAGGTTTGACTCTTGGTCCGGAAAGATTCCATGTGCCCAGGGGTAACTAAGCTCAGGTGCCACACTACTGAAGCCCGCATGCTTTAGAGCTGGTGCTCTGCCACGAGAGAAGCCACCATCATGGGCAGCTCGCCTACTGCCGCTGGAGAGTAGCTCTCACAAAAATAAATATATAAAAAGGTACAAACTTCCAATTATAAGACAAGTAAGTTCTGGAGATGTAATGTACAGTATGGTGAATATAGTTTCAATACTTTATTAAATATTTAAAGATTACAAATGGAAAAATCTTAAAAGTTCGCATCACAAGAAAGAAAAGTATAACTGTGCAGAGTGATGAATATTAACTAAACTTACAGTGTAGACATTTTGCAATATATACATATATCAAATCTTTATACTGTACCCTTGAACCAATACAATATTATATATCAGTTATGTTTCAATAAAACTGGGGAGAAATTCATCTCAGATAAAACATTGATGGCTGCTATTTTTATTTAAGATACTGGTAAAGAGAAAGAAGCAGGGAATTTTGGAGCTCAAGTTTTATATATGTATAGGGCTTCCCTGGTAGCTCAGCTGGCAAAGAATCCGCTTGCAATGTGGGAGACCTACGTTCGATCCCTCAGTTGGGAAGATCCTCTAGAGGAAGGCATGATAACCCTCTCAGGTATTCATGCCTGGAGAATCCCCATGGACAGAGAAGCCTGGAGGGCTACAGTCCACTGTGTCACACAGAGTCTGACATGACTCAGTGACTCAGTACAACATATATATATTTAATATTTTAAATACCTCAGCTGGAATTCCATCACCTCCACTAGCTTTGTTTGTAGTAATGCTTCCTAAGGCCCACTTGACCTCACACCCCAGGATGCCTGACTCTAGGTGAGTGATCACACCTTTGTGGTTATCTGGGTCATTAAGACCTTTTTTGTATAGTTCTTCTCTGTGTTCTTGCCAGTTCTTTTTATCTCATCTGCTTCTCTTAGGTCCTTACTGTTTCTGTCCTTTTCGTGCCCTACCTTGCATGAAATATTCTTTCCAATTCTATTGTTTTCCTCTATTTTTTTGCACTGTTCACATGAGAAGGCCTTCTTGTCTCTCCTTGCAATTCTCTGGAACTCTGCATTCAGTTGGGTAAATCTTTCCTTTTTTCCTTTCTCTTTTGTTTCTCTTCTTTCCTCAGCTAATTTGTGAGGCCACCTCAGACACCACTTTGCCTTCTTGAATTTCTTTTTCTTTGGAATGCTTTTGTTCACTGCCTCTTGTACAGTGTTATGAACCTCTGTCCATAGTTCTTCAGGCACTCTATCTATCAGATCTAATCCCTTGAATCTATTTTTCACTTCTACTGTATGATCAAAGAAGGGATTTGATTTAGGTCATACCTGGATGGCCTAGTGGTTTCCCCTACTTTCTTCAGTTTAAGCCTGAATTTTGGAATAAGGAGCTCACAATCTGAACCACAGTTATAGAGTTTCTTCATCTTCAGCTGCAAAGAATATAATCTGTCTGATTTCAGTATTGACCATCTGGTGATGTCGATATGTACAGTCACCTCTTGTGTTGTTAGAAGAGGGTGTTTGTTATAACCAGTGTGTTCTCTCGACAGAACTCTGTTAGCCTTTGCCCTGCTTCATTTTGTAGTCTAGGGCCAGATTTGCCTGTTACTGCAGGTATCTCTTGACTTTCTACTCTTGCATTCTAATCCCCTATGATGAAAATGACATCTCTTTTTTTTTTTTTTGGTATTAGTTCTAGAATGTCTTGTGGTCTTCATAGAACTGATGTGATCTTCATAGAACTTCATTCAACTTCAGCCTTTTTGGCATCAGTGGTTGGTGCACAGAATTGGATTATTGTGATGTTGAATGGTTTGCCTTGTAAACAAACTGAGATCATTCTGTCATTTTGACATTGCAACCAACTACTGCATTTTGGACTATGTGTATGTTGACTTTGAGGGCTACTTTTGTTGACTATGAGGGCTACTCCATTTCTTCTAAGGGCCTCTTGCCCACATTAGTAGATATAATGGTCATCTGAATTAAATTCACCCATTCCTGTCCATTTTAGTTCACTGATTCCTAAAATGTCAATGTTCACTCTTGCCATCTCCTGCTTGACCACGTCCAATTTACCTTGATTGATGGACCTAACATTCCAGATTCCTATACAATATTGTGCTTTCCAGCTTCAGACTTTATTTTCACCACCAGACACATCCACAGCTGAATGTCATTTCCTCTTTGGCCCAGCCACTTTATTCTTTCTGGAGCTATTAGTAATTGTCCTCCACTCTTCCCCAGTAGCAAACTAGACACTTCCGATCTGGAGGACTTATCTTCTGGTATCATATCTTTTTGCCTTTTCATACTGTTCATGCGGTTCTCTTGGCAAGGATACTGGAGTGGTTGCCATTCCCTCCTCCAGTGGATCTCGTTTTGTCAGAACTCTTCACTGTGACCCATCCATCTGCACAGCATGGCTTATAGCCTCATTGAGTTACGCAAACCCCTTCGCCATGACAAGGCTGTGATCCTATAGAAATAGCTAAAAAACAGTACAAATAGAAATGATACAGATATTAGTGCTGTTAAAGCAGTGTTTGGAGGGAAACGTATTAAATTCTTATATTAGAAAAAAGGTCTCAAATCAGTGGTCTAAACCAGATGTCAGTAAACTTCAGTTTGAAGGCCATATCTAGCCCATCACCTGTTCTTGTGTGGCTTGTGACCCAGAAAGGATTTTATGTAATACAGTGACTGAGAAAGAGTGAAAGAATGCTGATATTTTGTGATATGTGAAAATAATAGGAAATTCACATTTTGGTGACCATGAGGCTTTATTGGAACATGGCCATGCTCATTTATTTATGTATTGTCTGTGGCTGCTTTCTTGCTATATCCATGGTATACAGTAATTATAACAGACTGTATGGCCTGCAAAGCCTAAAATACTTACTTTCTGACATTTTGTAGAAAACATTTGCCAACCGTGGCTATGGATACTAAAGATTTTAAAACAGTTATATGGGTATATATTTCTCTTTTACCACTTTTATTCAACATTGAAATAATGGTCCTTGAAGGTGTAGTAAGTCAAGAAAAAGATAATAATTAAGCATAAAAATTAGGAAAAAAGAAGTAAAACTCATTCACGTATGAGATGATTGTGTACATAGAAAATTATGAAATCTGCAAAAAGCAATTTTAATCAGTGAATTTAGCAAAATCAGTATATAAAATAATTTATTGTTCTCTATATTAGCAGTGAATGATTTATAAACTGAAATTAAAGCTATTATTTCTGATAGCGTTTAAAAAAAAAGCACACCAGTTACCGATGGATAAATCTAAGGATATGTTCTCAGAACTGAAAGGTGGAAACATTGCTTTTGTTGTTGTTCAGTCACTCAGTTGTGTCTGACTCTGTGACCCCATGGACTGCAGCACACCAGGCTTTCCTGTCCTTCCCCATCTCCTGGAGCTTGCTCAAACTCATGTCCATTGAGTTGGTGATACTATCCAACATTGCTAATGTACATTAAAAAAACAACTAGATAGTGATAGAACATATTCATGGATTGGAAGACTCAACATTATTAAGATGGAATTCTCTCTACAAATAGATTCAGTTCAGTCTTCATTAACATCCTAATAAGCTTTTTTAAAAATAATTTTTATTTATTTACTGGCTGTGCTGGGTTTTTTAAAAAAATTTATTTATTTTAGTTGGAGGCTAATTACTTTACCATATTGTAGTGGTTTTTATTGTGCTGGGTTTTTGTTGCTGCCTTTGCTTTTCTCTAATTGCGGTGAGTAACTACTCTTTAGTTGCTGTGCACGGGCTTCTCATGGTGGTGGCTTCTCGTGTCGCTGAGCGCGGGCTGTAGATCTCAAGGGCTCAGTAGTTGCACTTCCTGGGCTTTAGAGGACAGGCTCAGTAACTGTGGTTCACAGGCTTAGGTGCTCCACAGCATGTGGGATTTTCTCAGCCGAGGGATCAAACCTGTATCTGTTACATTGGCAGGCAGATTCTTTACCACTGAACCACCAGGGAAGCCGCAACATCCTAGTCAGCGTTGTTTGCAGAATTAGATAAGATGATTCTACAAATTTACCAAGCTGTGAAGGATTAAGAACAACCAACATAATTTTGAAAAACACAGTTGGAGGACTTTTGTTTCCTGACGTCAGGATTTTCCACAAAGCTACAGTAATCTAGACAATGTTGGGGAATTCCCTGATAGTACAGTGGTTAGGACTCCATGCTGTCACTGCCAAGGGTACAGATTTAATNACCCTCATAATATAGCAAGTGACTTCCCTCAGAGTAAGTGATCAAAGAGTGAGCACAGGGACAAAGTGACATTGCCTTTTATGACAAACTCTTGGAAGTTACCATCACTTCCACCACACTCTTACTCACTGCTCCAACCTACGTTTAGAAAATTAAGCCTCACCTCTTGAAGGGAAGAGTATCAAAACTTTGTGGACATATTTTTAAAATGTCATAGCTTCTAGAAAAAAGAAAAGGAAACCATCCCTATGACCTTGAAGTATTTAAATATTTATTGAATAAGATCCTAAAAGAAAAAAGACATGTAAAAAAAAAAATGAATAAACTGGATGTCATGTAAATTAACACTTTAAATAATACCATTAAGAAAAAGAGCAGGTAATCCCAGAGTATGGAA